AGCAAGACTTCACCCCCCCCCCGGGGGGATGGCCACGCCGCAATCATTTTTCCTCCGTTCTCCTCTCGGGATCTTGGGCACAAACGCCCAGCGTGAGTTTTAAGCCACCGGGTCCGGGACACGAACCATGGTTGACTACATGGGAGTCCAGCGACATAGCCATTATGCTAACTGCTGGTCCCGCTAAGGGTAGAACTTTAAGATAACCTCCAAGTTGCTGCCTCAAGAACCCTTCAAGTCCTTGCTAGAGCTCTGGGAAAGTGGACCTTCCACACAGACTTGTGGCCAACACTGCTCCTGGGCAGCTGTCGGTGGGTCCAGGAGACAATGACAATCCGGGAAATTACTTGGGTGTCCTTATGCTCGCCCGTCATGGGAGCAACACACCCTGCCTGGAGGTGAGTGGGTCTGGAGCTGCCATATCTCGAGAGCAGCAGAGCCCACCTAAAGTCTCCACCATGGAATGACCTAGGTCCAATTCCAACAAATAGCCATGTTGTCCTGAATTCCCAATAAAGCCTTCTTATAATGCTTACTTGTGATAAACCTTCTAGTCTGTCTCACACCAGGCTCGGGCATCTTCTAGGTCTAGTCTTGGCTGTTGGGTGTCTTGTTTTGAGCTGAGGATGAGCTAGTTAGAATGAGGAGCCTTCCCATTGGCATTTCAAGGTAGAGCAGAGCCCTAGTTCTGTGACTACCGGCTCCCAACATGGTCAGAGAGAGGTGAGCACTTTGTACCTCCAGACCATGGACAGCAGCTGGGGCTGACGGCACCTCAGAGACAGAGATGCTGGCAGGACAGACACCCTTGACCCTCAGAAGGTCCAAGAGGAGCTGATGCAGATGTCCGAGACAGGAAGAAGGCACTTCCACTGAGAAGGGAGGTGAGCTCAAGATAACAAACGCCAGAGCAGGACTGAAACCAAATGGCTGGAACAACCTTTGCAGTTCTTGAAGGTCAGATCCTGGCACTATGCATTCTGATCTGCCCTGCCTATCACTCCCTTTTGCTCAGTGCCCATTTAGTTATTAGCATTAAAATTTTGGAAAATTACAAGGGATTTTGTGCTTAAGGGACTGTGGGGGGAGTCAGGTGGTGAGCTCCTGCCTTTTTCATCTGCACAGAGTCTAGAGGGAAGAGCCCTCACTATCCTCCTCACTGTCATGTGTGTCTGTACCCACCAGTTGGTAAGCTCCTGGGGCAATAGCTGGGTCCTTCTGCCCTGGCACTCTAGACCCTGCATGTGCACATCACAGTCTGTGCTAGGAGTGGAGTGCTGTGAGCACACAGAGTGATCCAATGACAAATGTTAGTGGAAGCAGTGCATTTAAGCAAGGCTTGAAAACGAGTAGAATTTCAAGTGCAGGGGTGTGACTAGGGTGGGCTGGGAAGGGCATGAAGTGTGCAGGACAGCACCTGACACACTTGTCTGTGCCCTCAGTGCCCAGGCCAGGCTTTCATGCTGCAGGAAGTCACAGGGGAGGTGAGAGCACCTGCTTTGGCAAGTCCCTTACCCCAGTGATGGCGGCTCAACCGCTGCACGTGCTCTCATCATGTGACTGGCCACCTAGCAGCATGGTTCTTCCTTTCATGATGACGGCCAGGGTGTAACTCCCACCTGTTCTCTGAGAACGCTCTATCTACGGACCTGAATACCACTGCAAACACCCAGACCCACCCAGAGCACAGAGATGCACAGGAGCAGCCACCTGTGCACGTGTGTGGATGGTTCAGATGGCTCCAGCCTGGGATCCAGTCTTGGAGTCTTCTCAGCTGAGACCCCAGACGGTATGGATTCCTGACTCATCCGAAAACGGTGTTTTGGGTTTTATGGGAAAGCAAGACCTTAAACGCTGTTCTAAGACGTTGGAGTGCCTGATATTTTCACCTGGTGATCACTGCAAGTTTATAATACAGAAAAGCAGGTGACTAGAGAGGGCTAACACTTTTGGTGATGTGTTGCAAGTGGACCCCAAGAAACGCACACTCCTTTCCAACACCTTGAAGAGGTGGCCTGAGAACCGAGCCAGGGTGGTCAGGGGCAGGAGCCCTGCAGGACACAGGGTCACACGGCCCTCTTCACCTTCCCCTCAGCTGCTTTTGAGGTCTTGCTGGTCACTGGATGGAACCCTGAGGCCTGTCCTGGATAGCAAAGTGACAGGCTGAGGCTTCCTGGGAACCACAGGTTCCACACAGCCTAGTCTGCTTTGAGGCAAGAGCAGCAGGCAAGGCTGAGGGAGCCCTGGGCTGCTCGTCAGAGGGTGGGGCTCCAGCAGGGCTGCACCACCGTCCCATCCAGTTTGCCTCTGTGACATCTGCCTGACGTTGAAGCCCCGAGCTTGCTGCTTCTCCCAAGATGGTAGTTCACCTTTTCTTCCCTATTGTCACCTGAAGAAAGCTTGCCTAGCACACCTGTACTCAGAAGCTCCGGGGACAGTGTGGCTAAAGCATCTCTGGGCAGCTATGCCCTGCCCCAGCAGCACCGAGGCTGGCGTAGGAGAGCTCAGGGCTGCTGGACCCCTGGTCTCTCACTCCCCAGACCAGAGGTGTCCAGTGGGATGGAACAGGCCCTCTCACTCCTTCTCTTTCCCAGCACCTTCACCCACTTCCCAGCTGGTTTCGTACCATGATGCAGGCGTGGGCCTTGTGGTAGTAGGAGGCATGCATGCTCTGGAACCGCTCCTGGCCCGCTGTGTCCCAGAAGTCTGCAATGTGAACACAACTTGGACCTCTTAACGGGCAGGAGGGCAGAGAGTCCCGCACGTCTCAAGCATTTCTGTGCAAGTCTCTGTCTGTAGAAACACGACATACGTGGTAAAAACCACAGCACACGTGAGTGCACGTGCAGAGCACCGGGAGGAACGGAGACCACACAGCTCCATGTGTCCGCAGTATACCTGGGTGTGCTTGAGTTTGTACATACCTGTGTGCATGGGAGGGCCGGGAGCCAGGGGCAGGACATACGACAGGAAGCTCCACAAGGAGAAAGCAGGTGTCCCTTTGTGCCCACACACAAGATGCAGGGCCCTAGAAGGCCTAAACCAGACTGAATTCCCACATGCCAAGACCACAAATGGTGGACAGTCAGGCAGGGCATGGGCCTGGCCAAGGAAAAGACTGACTTCACGGAAGGCCAAAACCTGGCATGGGATATAACGTTCACACACCTGTCATCTCTTGACTTACGCTGGCTGAGTGAGAGCTTTGAGACTGGAAAGCCCCTGTTATGTCAAAGACCTCTGTGCTCCTCTGCCCTCTGGCAAGCACAGACTCCCACCTTCTGCTTCTCTGAACCCTGCTTTGCACACCAACTGGGTCTGGACGCTGGGTCAGGAGGCCCAGCCCCACTCCCTGGCCCCTGGCTCTTGGAGTTCCCCCATCATGCCTGCTCCTGCCTGGGGTCTCACTTGCTCCCTTGTCTCTCATGGACCTTCTCTCACCTCCACCCTGCTCCCATTTCCTCTTTCTGAGGGTCAGCATGGCTCAGCCCCATCCTGCTCACCCACAAGGATGGTCTTGCCGTCCACCGTGGCTGTGTGCTTGTACAGGGTCAGGGCATATGTGGATAGCTGCTGTGGCTGACTGTATTCAGGTTAAGGAGCAAAGGTGACTACAAGGGGGTAAGTAAGGCATGTCTAGTGGGCTAGAATAGGCCCTCCCTCCTTTTCTTTCTGAACTTACTTATACTTTAAATCAAAGGAATGTTGCAGACAGAGGACCAGTTTCAAATGTCACTGGCAAATGCTCCTTGGAAGGGTGAGGAGTGAGAGGGGCTGGAGGTGTATCCTGGCCATCTGAATCCAAGGTTATGAATGGGATTGAATTTTACAGAGAAGCTGCTATGAATAGTAGCATGTAGTTGAAGATGCAACCATGGTGCCACAACTCCTTCATGGGTGGTACTCATGGGGGCTGGAAAGGAAATTCTGACCTCCTTCCAGGGAAAAGAAGCTCCCGCAGGTTAGAGAGCTGACAAACTATTCATAAATTATAGTCTGCTTCATGCACACATGCCTGGCATGATTTTCAACCTACCAGATTTATTTAAGAAAAAACAAAGAACTGTAGTCTGCCTGTATGTGAAACAGAAATAATAAAAACCCTGGGGAAATAATGCCTCCTAAGTCTGTAAGACACGGCAGCGTAGCTAGGAAAGTTGAGCTCACACAGATGGGCTGAGTGCAGTGTGGCACTTGGGACAAAGCAGAGCAAACAATGGCCTGGTCCCTGGGTGATGGTGTCAGCCATGGGGTGCTTGGTCCAGGGAAGGAGCAATCCATGGATAGACCTCCTCTCTCCTGAGGTTCTCAGCAGATCCACCTAGGAAGCTTTTTAAAACCATCTGGTGGGGCCAGCAGGTGGCACAGTGGTAAAGGCACTGGAGTCCCACATGGCTGACCATGGTTTGAGTCCCAGAACCGGAGGCTTGAAAAGTATGTGGGGTACATGTGCATGCATGCCCAAAATCCCAGGAGGAGAATGGAGAAGGGATTGTGGCGTGGCCAGCCTCCCTAGGGTGTGATTTCTCTCACTGTTTCTGTCTTTCTTTAGTGAGCGCACATGCCCTATGGCAAAACCCTTAAAACAAACAACAACCTTCTGATGGTAGGATGCTACAATTCATGGGAGGGAGGGGATGGCAGCTCATATTTCTACATAGTTCATTTGTATCAGATTTTTTAAATATTAGGGGGATCTAAGCTTTGAGGCCAGAGAGGTTCAGTGACTTGCCCAAGATCAGAGTGGCTGAGGTGCAGGAGGTGGCATCTGGACCTCAGTATGTGGTCTGGACCAGGGACTATTAGCCACTCTACTGCATCTAACATGTAACATAGCCAATGTGAACTCCAGAACACGCAGCACTGATTGTCTGATGTCGTGAGCACCAACTGGCAGGAACCCAGAGTGAATGAGACCTGTGCACACGCTGCACCCCCCATCCCTGGACCAGTGGCACCGAGGGGAGGGCAGTGGGTAGAGATGCATGAGCATAGGAAAGGCCACAGGAACAAGGGGGTATGTCCATGCTGAAAGGATACAATCCATCCATGAGAAATCTCTCCATGAGCCTGTAAGGAGAATGAGCGCAGTGGTCAAGTGGGACTCCTATCTCCTCCTTGTCCCTTCCTCATCACTGCCGGGGTGACAACCTGGACACTCCTTGTGGTTCCCCTCTCCCATTTGCTGTACACCATACAGGTTCTGGGATGAGCCTAGAACCTGGGAATCACTGTCCCCTCATACCCTCGTATCCCTACAAGGACACAGACCAGCCCATGTGAGCTCTTGGGTCTATTATTTCCACCTCAGCACTACGGTACGCATGCAAATACCTGGTTCTATGCATGAAGAACCAGGCCAGGAAGGCTATGCTCTCTGACTGAAAACTATTTCCCCAAGATTGTGTGGGTCTTTGCTTAGATGTCACTGGAGAGGTAGAGTCACACCTGACAGCTCTATCTATAGCAGGAAAGTACTACCCATGTCATAGCCCTTCATCCCTAGCTGCCCCACACATAGCTCCGACTGAAATGCTGGGAACTGTACATATTTACTGTCTCTCTCAATTGGAACGGAGCACGTATGACAGCAGTTTCTGGATTCCTGGTTCATCACTGCATCAGAGTGCTTAGGGTGGTGACTTTGAAGGCACAGTGGTGCCCATAAGTATTTTGGTATATGAATGGGAATTAAGTTAGTAAGCTTAATTTAGTACATACCTCTGAATCTAATGAGAGAATATACATCCTTTTCCAGCTTTCATAACCACTGACCACCAACTAGCCTATTGTAAATCTTGGGGAAAAAAACACCCTTTCTTCAAAAGGTATCATCAAGATCATGTTCTTTGAACATAAAGCATAAAGCAATTAAGTCATAAATGAAAACAAACTAATTTTTTTTTTCTTCTGTAAAGCGTGTATACTCTCCAGAGACAGAAAGAGAGAGAAGGTGGAGGTGGAATAAGAATCACTCCCCATGGAGTGACCATACTGCAGTCCCTTCTTCTCAGTCTCCACTTGGGGTTTTGGGCATGTATGAAGAGATGCTCAGTGTGACTTTCAAGCTTCTGGGTCTGGGACTCAAACATAGCAAGCTATGTGGGATCTTGTGCCTTAACCCATAAGTTAGAAAAGTAAGTGTAATGGATACTTAAAAATGGAAAATATGGAAGTCCAGTGCAGTACAGGAGGCTGGCACTGTGCCTGCTCAGTGTGGCAACTGTGGTTCAAGTTCTAGGCCAAGTCGTCAGCCTAAAACACACCAGGCACAAATGAAAGTGCTCAGGGTGGGACTGGATGGGCTGGAGGAAGATGACTGTGATGTGGTCTGACCCTGTGGAGAGTGCTCAACTCTCCTCCTTGCACTCATGTGAGCAAGCATGTGCTCTATCAGGAATAAAGAGGGAAAAAAAAGTCTTGGGACCAGCAGTTAGCGTAATGGCTATGTCGCTGGACTCCCATGTAGCCAACTGTGGTTCGCGTCCCAGATCCAGCGGCTTAAACTCACTCTGGGCGCATGTGTGTGCATGCCCAAGATCCCGAGAGAAGAATGGAAGAGAAGAGATTGTGACATGGCCATTCCCCCGGGGGGTGATTTCTTGCTTTCTATCTCTCTGTCTCTCTGGTGAGCGCATGCACCCTATAGCAAAAACCTCTCCAAAAAAAGAAAAGAAAAGAAAGTCTTAAAGTTTCCACTTGAAGTAGATATGTATTTTCCACTTTCCTGTTAAGAACAAGAAACCCTGGACATTACAGAAATCAATAGAAGACCGACTGGTTAGAGACCAAAGGACCTGAGGAATGACAATGAAGTGTTCCCCAGGTTTTCTTTGTATTTCAGACACCCAGATTTGGAGATGAAGAAGTGGCGGACACCGACGGAAACAGACAAAACCCATCAAAACACCCACACAGTCTGCTTTCTCCAACCAAAAGAAGAGGCAAGGGTGAGCTGGAAAGACAGAAAACTTTTGACCTGTAACTACCACCTGGACACCATGGAAAAAGCGTGGTCCACCTCTACTTCTCAGTAGAGGCTGAGGCTTGAACAAGATACCCAACGGCATTCCAAACTGGGTGAGTGTGATGGAAAGTAAGCAGGGCCGGAACCTGCTTCCCCATCAGATGGCAGTGGGTCCCCACCTCCATGATGGCCATGTGAAGACCACGGGAGTCTAGGCTTCACTCCCACAGGAAAGAATAGGGGTGGTGGGTGTGGGTGGGGTCTCCCCATTTGTGCTGAAGCGGAGCCACAAGCAGTTACAATGGAGTTAGATAAGGGCTTGAGGCTCCTGACATTACGCACGAAATGTCCAAGTTTCAACAGAAAATCATTCCTCAAAACAAGCACCAGGAAGGTCTCAAATTGAATGAGAAAGACAACTAACATATACACACAATGAGATGATATAACTATTACAATTATCTGACAATGTTTTTTAAAATAGCCATCATAAAAATGCTTTAATGGGGCTAGCCAGTGGCAAGACATGGTGGATGAGGTGGTTGGATTCCATATGGCTGACTGAACAGTTCGAGTCCCAGACCTGGAAGTTTAAAAAAACTCTCTGGGCACTTGTATGTGTGCCCAAAATCCTGCAAGGAGAAATGGAAGAGAAGGGATTGTGGTATGGCCATCTCCCATCAAGGATGCTTTCTTGGGAACCAGCAGTTAGCGTAATGGCTATGTCGCTGGACTCCCACGTAGTCGACCGCGGTTCGTGTCCTGGACCCGGTGGCTTAAAACTCACGCCGGGCGCGTGTGCGTGCGTGCCCAAGATCCCGAGAGGAGAATGGAGAAGGGATTGTGGCGTGACCATCCCCCCTGGGGGGTGATTTCTCGCTTTCTGTCTCTATGTCTCTCTCTGTCTGTCTGGCGAGCGCAGGCGCCCTACAGTGAAAATCTCTCCAAAAAAAAAAAAAAAAAAAAAAGGATGCTTTCTTATCACCTCCCCTCCACCTCCAGCCTGTTTCCATGAGGGAATGCACCCTCTAGCAAATTAAAAAAAGCTTTAATGAGCAATTAGGTATGTACTTAAACCAAATGAAAATTCAAAGTCTTGGCAAAGAAGCACAAAGTTTCAGCAAAGAGACTATTTTGTAGCAAAGATATAAAAGCTATAAAGAAAAATCCAATGGTAAATTTAGAACAATCAGAAAATAAAAACCAAAATGAAAAATTTACCGGATGGGCTCATGGCAAGATGGAGAGCATGAAGCGAAAGAAAAAAAAAAACAACCCTATTGAACTTTAGAATGGAAAAAAAGAAATTGCTTAATATGAACAGGAACAAGAACATGATGAGCAAAGCTGTAGGCGTCTATGGGCTCTAAGATGACACTTGTGTCAATGGGCTCCAAGGTGAGGAAAAGAGGACAAGGCGATAGTGATGGGTGAAATAGTTAAAAATTTTCTAATTTGGCAGAAGACTGAAGCCTACACAATCAAGAAGCTGAGCAAAACAAAACAAAACAAAAAAAAAAAAAAAAAACCGCAAGGAAACTCACGCCAAGATGCAGTATCATCAACTCCTGAAATCCAAAGTCAAAGAACACTCTGAAAGCAGTGAGAGAAACAACCTCATACCTATGGGGGACCCTCTGAATGATAGGGAGGTTCTCATCAGAACTGTTGAGGCCATCAGGAAGTGGCACATGTTTCTCAAGAACTGAAAGGAAAGGACTGTTAACCCAGAATCTAAAATCCAGTGAAAATACCTTTTGAGACTGAAGGGGAAATCAAGACTTTCTCACATGAAGGAAAAGAATGAAAACTTGTTTACTGAAGACCTACCATAAAAGAACAGCTAAAAGAAGTTCCTGAAACAGAAAGAAGACAGTAAAAGAAGGAACCTTGGGACATCAGGAAGAAAGAAAGAATACATTAAAAAAAAAATACCGATAAACCCAAGAGACTGTCTTCTCCCCTTTAAAAACTTAAGATTATTTTTGATTATTAAAGCAAAAATTTTAATTCTGTATGATGGGGTTGTCATTGTACGCAGAGGAAATACTTCAGATAACTGAACAGCAGAAGGTTAAGGAACATAAAAGGAAGTAAGATGTCTACACTTCAACTGATAGGTGTCAACAGCAAGGACTGAAAGGCAGGCATATGTGAGCTAACATAATACTTAGACTAGCCACCATGAAAGTGGTACAATGAGAGATGCATTCAATTATATAGATGCAGTAAACCAGAATAGAATATAAATTTAAGTAACACATAGGAAGGCAGGGAAAAAACTTCAGAAATGACAAACAGAAGATAAAACCAAAAATGGCAGACTTGAGCCTAAAAAAAACAATAATTACAGCTGAATCTTATCATTTGTGGTAGCTCTGCCCTATAAGGTCTTTGCAGCGCTGAGTTATTAACTTTTTTTTTTTTTTGGGTATAGGGCACGTGCACTCGCCAGACAGACAGAGATAGAGAGACAGAAAGTGAGAAATCACCCCCCAGGGGGGATGGCCACACTGCAATCCCTTCTCCTCCATTCTCCTCTTGGGATCTTGGGTGCGCCCGCACACACGCCCGGCATGAGTTTTAAGCCACTGGGTCCAGGACACGAACTGTGGTGGACTACATGGGAGTCCAGCGACATAGCCATTATGCTAATTGCTGGTCCCCTAAGTTATTGACTATTAAACAGGTGTTCCTTGGGCCAGTGGGTGGCGTGGTGGTTAAGGGGCTGGACTCCCACAAGGCTGACTGCAGTCTGAGTCCCAGAACTGGTGGCTTGCTCTCTCATTTTCTTGAAGAACATGCTGGACATGTGTGTAAGAGTGTCCAGAATCCCAAGAGAAGAATGGAGATGGACTGTGGCATGGTCATCCACCCTGAAGGAATACCCCATTTCTCACCTGCTCACACCAGACTACTTCAGTAGTTTCTAGGCTGAGCCATTCCATGTCTTCCATCAGGAGTCACAGAAAATGCTCGAGTTCCTCAGTCCTTGTGATTTTTTGCCCTCTCACCAACACACACAATTGCTGACTCCCCTCACTCCCTCCTGCATGTCTAGGCTCCAGCAAAGATAACTCTCCCACAGCTCATGGAAGTTAGGCTCCTCTTGGCCTTTGGAGGATTTTTCTAACACCCCAGATCCACTCAGGGTCTCACCCCCAACATACTTCGACTTGCCCACTGCACTGTCCCCCAGACAGATGATCTTCACACTGTCATCAGCATCATACTTCTCCTGGTCCAGGTCGCAGGGTTCGCTTCTGTCCCCTGCCATTGACTTCAAGCTGAAGAGGGGCCCAGCCCAGGGGTGGGGTCTTGTCGAAGTCTGAGAAGATCAACGAGAGGCTGCTGTTAGAGAAATCAATTCTACTTTTTCTTCTTCCTAGATACAGTGAGCCACTGACAGAGGAGCTTGAAGACAACTTAGATAACTTACACCCTTCTCTGTTCACCTCCAACTCAGCTGCCACATGCTGAGCCCTTGGGTTACTACTTTGTCCTCACAAGATCCTCGTAGGGACTTTCTTCCTTTCTTTTTTTGAGAGGTTTTCGCCATAGGGCGTGTGCGCTCGCCAGAAAGACAGAGAAAGACATAGAGACAGGAAGCGAAAAATCATCCCCCAGGGGGGATGGTCATGCCGCAATCCCTTCTCCTCCTCCATTCTCCTCTCAGGATCTTAGGCACGCACGCATCTGCGCCCGGCGTGAGTTTTAAGCCACCGGGTCCGGGACGCGAACCGCAGTCGACTACGTGGGAGTCCAGCGACATAGCCATTACGCTAACTGCTGGTTCCCGGATATTTCTTTGTGTCATGTCCTTGTCAGGTATGCTCAAGGCCACACTTCCATACCTGGACAGACAGCATTCGATTCATGTTGCCGTTTTGCAAGTCCAACATACAAAAGGTTTCTCACTTGTAACACAGGGACAGAAAGCACGTGGTTGGTGGGAGACACTGTCTCCTACAAAGCCTGAGCTCCCATCACTGAGTGCCACGGACTGAGCCCACCATTCCTCATCCTCTTCCCCTGTGCCTTTCACCTCTCCTTTACTTCCAGGCTATGGCAATCTGCAGCTGCCTCTCCCTCCCTCAACAGCAGTTCGCCCCAGCCTTCTTCTCCGGGGCAATTCCCTTCCACTAGTTTCAAGTATCTGCTAGATGCTCAGGAGGCAAACTGTGCTTTCCCTGAGACCTCTCTGGGTGCCAGACTCAGGTATGCAATCGCTCACGTACTTGGACAGCAGACTAGCGGCAGACCAAGAACACCTAAACACCAACACCCAAGTCCTGCTCCTTCCAAATGCTCCTGCCATTCCCCACCTGTACCTCCGGACACATACTGTAATCAGCTCTGCTCCTCTCCGCTCACACAGAATTAGACTTGCAAACATTCCCAAGAATGGCCACTGCCCAACTCCAAGCAGGCTGGGCTCAGGAACGAGGGATGAAGAACAGCAGAAATAACTCGCACGCACTGACCAGTCGCCCCAAGCAGGCCTTGCACCGGGATCACAGGAAGTGATGACAGCGGCCCAGTGCGGAAGATTTTTTTTCGTGGAAAGCCCCAAGAAACCACCAACGCCACGAGCCCCCCACAGAACCTCCGCACAGCCGCTCCTCTGCGAGGCAGGACCGGAGCCCCAGGCAGCCGCGGTCTCCAGCACAGTCCCGGGAAGTGCCAGGGCCCAAA